AACAGCAAATTGGGATGTGCATCTGCAGCACAGCGGAGACCCTCCACACGGACCCTGCCCCTATCCTGCCATGAACCTATAAAGGAGAGCACAGAGTAGCTGCAGATGCTGGGGTTGGGGCACTCCCCATTGGAGGGTCCCATTTGTGAGCTGGCATGGCTGGAGGGTGCTGTGGACCAGGTTTCATCCTCGGCTTTTCAGCTTTCCTGCTGGGTGGCAATGGCTGAGGAGGTGTCTGTCCCCTTCCCATGTCCTCTACCCAGTTCCGGGGGCAGGCCAGAGAGATGGAGCTAAGTGAGCATGGATGCCCCAGCATCCACTGCACTGAGGACCTATTCTAGGCCACTCTTCCCTTGCTGTGTTTCATGCATCTCAAAACAATGCAGTCTTTGGGACTGCCTGAGCCCTGAGGCTGCACGGAGATTGGAATGGCTTTGGGCACTCATGGGAAAAGGGAGGGAGACAACAAGTCCCTGCAGAGGCTGGGACCCCAAAACCCAGCTGTTGCTGGTAGGGGATGCATTGGATTCCCTGTGTCAGCACTGGGGGTCCTCCCAGCAGAGGGAAGGGTTTGGGAGCTGAGGTTTGGGTCAGGGGGTGATGTGTACCCCACAGGAGTGGGGCACCCCATGGTGTGGGCCATGTGGGCACCATGACTCAGCTGGTTAAAGTGCCTGTCTAGTAAACAGGAGATCCTGGATTCAACTCGCAGTGGTGCCTGGCCCAGGGGCTTCTTTTCCTCCCTGCCCCAACCTGGGGGCATTGCTTTGGGTCTTTGCAGTGGTGACCCCTGCAGCTCTGTGCCCGACAACCCCACTCTGTGGGGAAGGAGCTCACAGTGAAGAGATGACCCAAAACCATCTCCAAACCCAGGGGATTTGGTACACAAAGAGGCACCCCCTGTGGTGGCTGGACCTCCAGCATCTTCCCCATTCATTTGCACAAATGAATCATGCAAGAAAACCCTCTGGACACAGGTTTGGGGGGGGGGGGTGAGTGGAGGTGTGGGGCTGATGGAGACCTGGGACAGCCTGGGGTACACACTTTTATGGCAGAAATAAATGTCACCTCTCCCTTTGCCATCCTCTGAACACAGGGACAGAAGGGAGCGTGGGGAGGTCCAGTCAGATGTGTTGCCAGGGCTCTGCTCTGCTCTGAAGAACCAGCCACAGTCTGCAGCCTTTGGTCAGAAAAGGGGAAAAGGTTCCCTAAGAAAGGGTCTGAAGGAGGAGATGAGGTGGCTGAATGGTGGAAGTGATGCACTGCTAATCTACTGTGCTCCGCATGTGTGGGTTTGAATCCCACCTTCTTGGGACCCAGAAGCCTGCTGCTTACCATGGTTCAGTGCTTTGACTCTTGGAGGAGGTGTAACAGGATGGCCCGTGGGCTTGGGGAGCCAAGGGGACAGGCATGGGAGCGTGGGGCCAGGCACCTTGCACTGAAGGGCAACGCAGGTCCCTGAGCGAACCAGAGCAGGTTTGGCAACTGGGAGCAACAGTGCAGAGGCAGATGTGTATTTAACATGGCTGAGCAAAACAGAGAGAGGCAGGAGGGAGGTGATAGAACCACAGCCTGGTTTGGGTTGGAAGAGACCTTAAAGCTCATCCAGCTCTAACCCCTGCCACAGGCAGGGACACCTTCCACTAGAGCAGGTTGCTCCAAGCCCCTGTGTCCAACCTGGCCTTGAACACTGCCAGGGATGGGGCAGCCACAGCTTCTCTGGGCACCCTGTGCCAGCACCTCAGCACCCTCACAGGGAAGAGCTTCTGCCTAAGAGCTCATCTCAGTCTCCCCTGTTCTGTCAGGTTAAAGCCATTCCCCTTGTCCTGTCCCTACAGGCCCTTGTCCAAAGCCCCTCTCCAGGTTTCCTGCAGCTCCTTTAGGCACTGGAGCTGCTCTGAGGTCTCCCCTGAAGGAACCTTCTCTCGGCTGAACCAGCCCAGCTCTCTCAGCCTAGTTCCAGAGCAGAGCTGCTCCAGCCCCCACCATCACTAGCACGCAGCATAGCTGCTATGGGGGGGAGCTCCCTCCTGGGTATGCAGCACTCGCAGTGGAGGTTCTGGAGAGAGGAGAGGATGAGCTACTGCAAGATGCAGATAAGAGGTAAAACCCCACATGCTGTGAGGCTTTAACTGCTGAAATCCAGAGGTCTTGAGGAGAGGGTAGCCTTGCGTTTCACAGAGCTGCCTGTGCTTCCATGTGGCTAGTTAAACCTGTTGTGCCAGCATTGCTGGTTCCTTCCCTGCTCCCACCCCTTTCCACAGATGAGGATGTAGCCAAGCAATGCCATGTCTTGGAGGCAAAGGCAAAGATGCTCAGGCTTAGTAGCCCACACTGCAAGCTGTACGCTGGCCTTTTGTCCTTCCCTGGGGACATGTTTCCTTCCCATGCCTTGAGGAAGTGCTGCTGGGATTGAGCTGCTTCCCTTTGTCAGCTCCTCCGGAGTCAGAAACAGGGCTGCAAGCAGATTTCCTGTGGAAAAGGCATGGGGTTTGGTGCACGGCGGGGGGGAGGGGGTACAGCCTTGGGGAAACACCAACATGCAGCTGGAGATGGTGAGATGGGAAGCGGTCAGTGCAGGCTCCCCCTAAGTTGGTGGTGCTGGTGTTGCAGGATGGAACCTGGGGACTTGCAGGGAAAGGAGACAAGCTGACTCCATTGGGACACCCTTGGGTTGTGTCTGCCCCAGTATATGTGTGCCCTTGCTCTGGTGTGCAGTGATGTGGCCTCCTGGGGGGGAAGGTGCCAGCCTCGGTGACGCTGGGGAGCATCAGCTCACCCAGGGACCTGGCAATTATAGGGGACATGTGAAAGGCATGGAACTGGATCACCTGCAGCCCCAGGGATGCCCAGAGCACTGGCTGGGCTCCACTGCCCAGGTTCCACACAGCCCTCTCAGATGCCTCAGAAAGGACACAGGTGGCCAAGGATGCTCCATGGATGCAGCATGAGTCTGTCTGCACCAGGATGCTTCTGGCACCAGCATGTCCCACTTTGCCCATCAACCATATGGGAATGGTCCCTGTGATGTCGGCTGTAGCCCTAAGGGAAGTGCACTGGATGAAGTAGTTCCTTGGCGATGGGATGCAATGGGCCTGTTGCTGTTGCAAAATGTGCCTTTGGCTTTCAGGAGACATTTGGGGCAGGGGTAAGCTTCCACCCTCCAGCCAGTCTGAGAGACATCTGGCCCTTGGGTTGGTGGAAATCAAAACGCAGAGTGGTAAAACTGGAGCTGCAAAGTGCTGCTGGGGCTGGTGATGGGAAGGGAAACACAGCAAGTGGTGGTCCTGGGCTGTGTTTCTCCTTGTGCCCTTTTCTGCAGGAAGAACCAGGGCTGAGATGGTCACTCCTCCTCGAAGTTAAGAAGCTGGGTCTGATGTGTTTGGTTTGGTGATATTTTCTTGGTGCTGTGGCTCCTCCAGAGAGAGCCATGTCTCAAGCAGAAAGTGCTCATTCCCTGAAACAAATAGGGGTTGGAAAAAAAACACTCTTTGCCTTTTTCCCCAGTATCTATGTTTCCAGGAAGAGCTCTTTCCCTTACAGATTTATTTTGTTTTAATCTAATTCATGGCACAAATCTGTGGCATCATTTCATCATTCAAAAGTGGTGGCAAAAAGCAGCAGGGTAAAGCTTAGAATACTCACCTTTTCCTACTCACAGAATGACCATTTAGGAGGCTGTGATGAACCCACAGCCTTATTCCAAGCAGGCTGCAAGGCTGATTCCTTCTGAAGCACGTAGCCCCCACTGCACATCAGAAAAGCTGATTTCCTCTTTCCCCTTCCAGAATGATGCTGAAAATGCCTCTGAAAGGCTTTTTTGCCTCGGCAGGCAGGGCAGGGAGGAGCCACTAGGGACAATTCAGCACTGTCACCAAGGCTCTGCAAGGCCAGCTCATCCTAGAAACTAAAATGACCCCCAGACCCCTACAGGGCACATCTTTAACAGCGATGCTAACAACCCCCGGCTCCACACATGCATAGTACATGTACCCTGCTGTTGACATGGTTAATTCCAGGGCAGGAGATGTTTGTGCCTTCATTTAGGCTCTGCTGGCTTGAAATGAGAAGCCTTCTTCAACCTTTCCTTGCCCCTAGAGCCTGACGGCTCATTCCCCTGCTCGGGACCACATCAGCAGCTCCCTCTCCTCAACTTGATGGTGATTCACATTTAAGTGCAGGTCGGGATTTGTGCGACTCCCCAGCTGCTTAGCATCTAACAGGCATTCTGCAGGGTGACCCAGTGTCACGCCACAGCCTCTAATTAAACAACATCACTGCATCCCAAGGAAGCAGGGCTGAGAACTTCGGGCTCGCCACTGTTAGCGCACCCAAAGAGCAGTTGGAAAGGCTCTTGGCCTCAGAAATCAGTTCAGCACGCAAAACTAGTCAGATTTGATGTGTGCCACCTCCAGGTGCCTATGGGTTTGAAATCTAATATCCCTTCCAAACAGAACCCATAGCACAAGTGTAAGGAATAATAACAGAAACAGGCAAAATCCTCTCAGTGGATCCAGAAGCATAACACCTGGCTCCAGCCAGGCTAGCTCAGGACTGTGTCTGTGGTAGGTTTACCCACAAATACATGCTCCTTATAGTCAACCTACATCCCCAAGCTCACCTCAGGTGCACCAAGGAGCTGAATTGCTTGCGCTCAGAGGAAGGTGGGGAGAGATGCGCTGGATGTGCCCTAAATTCTGCTGCAACACTCTCTTGCCTGACGGCATCAGATGTACTCTGGCCTTAGGAAGTGAGGTAATTAATGCCTGTAGCCCAAATCATTTCAATCTTACTCAGTATGAAGTGGAAGCAAAATACGGCGGATGAAAGGGGGAACTGTTTAACCAGCCGGGGGAGCTTTCCGAGGAGAAAAGTGCCGGTTGCTGGGGAGTTTCAGGCAGAAGGTACGCACCCGCACCCCCGGGGCCGGGGCACCCTATAAAACCCCACACGGTGCCTCGAGCCCCACCACCCATTCCCAGTCGCCGCTGCTGCCGTCACCTGGGTAAGTCAAGAGCGAGACGGGCTCCGTCTCCTTCCCAGCTGAGCTGTTTCTTTCACGGATGCCTTGTGCCCAGTCCTCCACCCGAGTCCCAGGTTGGTTACCTGCCTCCCTCCCCCCTGTGGAGGAGGAGGATGCTGGGGAAGGGTTTCATTTCTGCTCCAAAGCGAGGAGTGTAAGGGGGCTTGTAACCACGGAGCCAGGTCCGTCCTGCGTGGTTTGCCTTGCTGAAGCCTTTCAGCCGAAAGAAGAATATGCCCGGGTTGCAGGGATCAATGCGTCACTGATTATGGAAGGGCATCAGAGGTCCCTTAGGTTTTGGGATGGGATAACTCGGCTCATGTTAAATCCAGCTTGCTCATGTTATGTTGGTTTAAGTTGTGTTTTTTTTTGTCTCAGGAAGCGTTTTGCTTGCTGAGGGCTTTGTTGTTGGCTTGAAGGGAGGCACTGTGCAGGGCTGGGTCTGCTCTCAGCATCTGGTGCTTCCCCAGATGTGCTACTCAAACCAAACTCCTTGCATTTTCCCAAGTGAGTTATGGGATGAGGAAAGGAGGAAGCCCATTTGGAAAGCCTTCCTTTGGGGTTTCTAAGCCATCCAAGCTCATCCCTTAGCTTGCTTTCCCACACTTCTTATTATGGGAGCCACTGAATAAGGGCTCAGCAGGGATGGACCAGCCTCTGCCTTGCATTTACCCCCTGGCTCTGGCTTTCAGGTAGACGTCCTTGCCGAGCAATGTCCTGCTACGACCTGTGCCTGCCCTCCTCCTGCGGTCCCCGGCCACTGGCCACCAGCTGCAATCAGCCCTGCTTCCGCCGCTGTGGGGACTCCACCACCGTCATCCAGCCCCCCACTGTCGTGGTCACCCTGCCCGGGCCCATCCTCAGCTCTTACCCGCAGAACACGACGGTGGGATCCACGGCGTCGGCCGCTGTTGGGAACTACCTGCGGTGCTGCGGGATCCCCGTGGGCTCCGGTGGTCCCCGCGGGCTGGGGAAGGCAGGACTGCTGTGCCTAGGCAGCAGCGGGATATAGGGGTCTCTGTGACGGTCACCTCCTGCTGATGCCAGCAGAACCTCTGCATCAGGAAGGACAAACGAAGAACAGGACCAAGACTGGGGAAGAGGACTAAGAAAAGGCCCGTGGGTTTCCCAGATGGGAGGGGGGGAGCTGCAGACCCCCACCAGGAGGAAGGGATCCATGTGAGCTTGTCACCGTGCCTATGTATACCTTTCTCTCACTAAGCCTTGCTTTATATTTCCATGTAGGTGTCACACCCTGTGGGGCTACACAGCATTTGCTGCTGGCTGGGCAAAAATGCTTATAGCAGGCTGTAGGGGGAAGATGATAGCCATGGGGCAGTGGGGCAGAGGAACAGCCTTGTAGGGATCAGCTTGTCCCGGAGTGGGGTTTATCCATTTCTTTATCAAGCACTGGAAATGCACTTCTCTTACTCTGCACTGATTTATTCTCGTATCTCATTAAAGTCATGCTGCATCATAGACTGAGTCTTCTGGTGTTCCTTGTGCCTCTGGACTGGAGACAACTTGTTGCTGGGGGTGGGGATTCCTTTTGGTTTTGGACTGAAATGAGGGTTTCTGCTGCTCAGCTCCTCACTGTGTTGACATAAGTGTGTGATTTGCTGTGACCAGCTCGAAGATAACTTTCCCAGCCTGGAAAACTCTCCTGCTGCCCCATAGCAAGCATCTGCTTAGGGAGTTCTTCCTGCAGGAGCACACTTTTTTGCCTGTTCCCTCAAGGAGGTGGGAACATGGAGGTTTAGCATTTTACCCTGTGTTTTGCAGCAGTTTTAGGGGTATGCTGAGGATGGATGTGGGGTCAGGGAAAAAAGGTAGAAGTGGGCTTCTTTGGATAGCTATCCTGTGCCCAACTCACATAGCGTTTTATGGGTGACGATGAAGAATAAAATATTCCTAAGATATACTGGGGCAAAACCAGACCTCAAGGTTTAGGCTCTTCATTCTTGCTCTTTATAAGGCAAAAGAGGCCTTATACAAATAGTATGTGCTGACTCAACTCAGGTGGCAGTGAGGCATGTGGTGTATCTCCATCTGTCTGTAACTCTTAATGAAACAACAGAAACGTTTTGTTCTGTGCTGCTGATTGCATGACTAGACATACATGTGTACAGCTGTGACTCCAGCCTTTGCCTGGAGTAAGCCTTATCTGTGAGCTGAATATCCCCATGTTCCTATCCTGGCTCAGGGAGCACACGTTGTCCTGCAGCCCATGTTCACAGCAGCATCCCCAGCCCCATCAGGGAAAGAGGGGTGCCTGTGATGTGGAATGCGGTGCAGGGTTACCCAGATTTCCTCTATGTACACCCAGGTTTCCAAATATACACAGACACTTAGAAGCCCAGTTTGCTGTGACTGAGCACTGATTTATCAGAGGTGTCATGGAATCACAGAATCAACCAGGTTGGGAAAGTCCTTTAAGCTCATCCAGTCCAACCGTTCCCCACCACTGCCAAGGCCACCACTAACCCGTGGCACTGAGGCCTCGTCTCCACGGTGTGTGAACACTTGCAGGGACGGTGACTCCAGCCCTGCCCTGGGCAGTCTGTTCCAATGCCTGAGCACCCTGTGGGGAAGGAATTGTTCCTCAGCTCCATCTAAACCTGTCCTGGTGCAGCTTGAGTCTTTCTGACATTTCTGAGACACCAAGCGTGGTGGACGCTCACATCTGTGGTGGTGCGATCAGGGAAGATATATAAACATAATAATGAGGACATGAAGAAGAAACTGATTTCCCTGTGTGCTACAGGTACAGAGGCAACAGCAACAACTGGACCAGCACTCAGAGCTTTGCTCTGTTGCTGTGTAGAGACACCTGCAGGTCCCATGCTGGCCAGTTAGAAGACAACAAGGGTAAGCCCTAGCCCCAGCCCCAGCCCCAGCACAGTGAGCTCTTTCCAAAGACTGGGACCCAAGACTTCAATTGGGCACATTGGTGAATTGAAGAATAATTGCTTTACAAGGAGGGGGTGCAGGTATCTCTGGAAGATGTCAGGCACTGAGTAAAGCCTCTTTTTAGGATGCCATGTATCAAGTAGAACCTATTCAGTTGATGGAAGGAGGAATAAGAGTCCTGCATTTTGGTAGTCTGACAATTTGCATAGAGCATATGAGTGCTTATAATGAGGCTGAGCTTGAAAGCATATTGGTCTTCAAAAGCCTTTGCCCAAGCTCAACTGGTTTTATTGCTCAGGAGATCTTCACAGAGGTGATCCTAATTTGGGGAAAATTCATGTGGCAATTGCCCAGCACCTTGAGCACCAGGAGAGGAGAGCTGTGGCTCCGCAGACCTCTCCTAGGGATGTTTTATCAGTTTATTTCTTATCCAAGCTCCAGGAATTACCTACAGAATGCAAAATTCTCCTGAACACTACAATGAGGAAAAGGGTTGGATTCCCAGCAAAAGCTGTGTTAGAAAGATGTAGCCATCCAGGGCTCATGTAACTTTCTTCCATCATAGGAGAGTCCAGGATGGAGCAGGGGGAACGAGCAATGGCATTTTTATGTGGCTTTTCACTGAATGACTTCACTGGTGAGGTGTTGCAGGTGTTCTTGCTGAGGCACTGGCACAGGGTGCCCAGAGAAGCTGTGGCTGCCCCATCCCTGGCAGTGTTCAAGGCCAGGTTGGACACAGGGGCTTGGAGCAACCTGCTCCAGTGGAAGTGTCCCTCCCTGTGGAACTGGATGAGCTTGGTCCTTTCCAACCTGAACCATTCCATGGTTCTATTACTACATGATTTTGTTTTGTTTTGTTTTGTTTTGTTTTGTTTGCTAGCCCTTGATTTGACTTGAAAATTGTGATGCCTTTCTGCAGACAGGCAAGTGAGGACCTCAGTGCCCTCCAGTGCTCCCTATCCTAAGGGATCTGGCACCCTGTCTCCCATGGGTGTTGTGGCTCCCAGCTGGGAGCCGTCCTGAATTCACTGTACCACATATCCCCCCAAGCCAGTGCTTGCCCAGGGCAGGACCCCACAGACTTGCTGATCAGGCCCTAAAATACAGGTTCCTACCAAAGGCCCTGGTGAGAAACAGTGAACTACAGACCAAGAGGGAACTATATCTTTCATGAGATGAAAAACAATGCTGAGTGGGTGGAAGGATGCACATGGAGGGAAATAGCTGGGTCCTGGTCCCAGCATCACTTACTTATGGCTTTCAAAAAGAGCAGCAGCAACAGAAGCATTTGTCAGAAGATCCTGGAGCACAGCCCAGACGCCACGCATGAATCTGTTGGGTCTTGTGTTCTGCTCACCTCCCATCCTCCCTCACCTGATTATGTCCTTACAGGAAACCTTCTCCATGCTGTCACCCAGCATCCTCCTCTGGCAGCAGTTATTGTTTCCTGGAGACCCCTCTTTCCCTGCATTTTCTGTCTTCCTTTGCTTTGGTGAAGACAACTGCAGCAGCAGACACTACAGTGCATGCACTATGGTGAGGTACACCAGCTCAGCAGGGAGCAGTCGAAACATGCTGGGAAGGTGGTGGGATAGCTCCTTATTGATGTCACAGTGTTAGGGGTGTCAATGTTCTGTTTGGGGTGCATGTAACCAAGGGAACATCCCCGCTTCCACCAGCTCTGGTGGCAAATGAGCTCACTGAGGTTTCTCTGTACTTGGGGAACCCAACAGCATCAGCCAGTGAGTATCTCGCATGGCAGTGGGTGTGGATAAGGCAGGTGGAGGGATGAAGTCATGGTGTGAGTTGAACCAGCACAGTATGGAGCTGTCATGGGAAAGGGAAGACTGGTGTGAACAGCAAGTAAGTGGCACCATCAGCAATGGAAACCCCAGGCAGCACGGGGCTGGTGATAGCAATAGAGGGATTGGTGGTGGCTGTGTAATTGCTGGGATAACAAGATCGTGGCACATCAGTCTGTGGCCTCTCTGCACATCCAGATGGGAAGGCAGAAATCCCAGTGACTCATAGCAGTGGGGCAGGATGAAGAGCCAGAACCACTGCCTGTGCTTTTGCTGGGTTGCAAAAGGCATCTCCCACCCCAGCTCCCAAGTGCCAAGCTGAAGGCAATACCAGGAGGGCAAGCAGGCCTCAACAGGCAGCACCCATCATCCTCCTCACTGGGGAAGGACCTGTGGCCAGAGCACTTGGGGACAAGCATCCTGGAGCCAGCTGGGTGGAGAGACAGAGCCGCTGGAGCTGGGAGCCTGCAGGCAGGGCGGACTGAGGTGGGGCTTGTTTCCCAATCAGATCCTCCTTCCTTGCCCACCAGAGTTTCCAACACCATTTTGCACCAAAGCATACCGGACACTTGCTCTTAGGTTTTAGGAAGGGCAGAGAAAGTGGCTGGCTGGCTGGGATAATAGGATACCCGACCCCAAGCACCCGCAGTCTCACCCCTCTTTTCAAAGCACCATCCCTGCTACACAAGGGCCCTGCACCAGCCTGTGGAGCCAGACAGGCAATGGCTCCATCAGTTCTTCCCCAGGGCTGGAAATCCCATAAACCAGGAAAATAACAGGCCAGCCACATGTGTGAGTCACTGAGCCTCACCCTAAGCCCAGATCATTGCCACTGTTCCCTGCTGTCCTACATCCCCTTCTTCTGTGATCTGCTCCCACCAGGGTGAGCAGTGCTCGGGGATGGACAGCGATGAGTGCAACGGAAGAGGACACCAAATCCCCGTGGCTTAAAAGGTCATCATAGAATCCCAGACCTGGGTCTCCTCAGAGCACAGCAGAGGGGGAGAATCTCCTCCCTGACCTGCTGCTCACGCTGCGTGCTCTGGGTTGCAAGCACACAGTGCTGGGGCAGGTCCTGAGTGTTTCAGACACAAGAGATGCTCAGTTCTCGCACTGCTAATTCACATTTGCTGAGGATTAGATGTCTGCACGTCTCCCATAGAGAAGGGTGAGCAGGGTAAGGTGTGTGTTGCTAGCACTGGATGTGTAGGACTGAAGGAGCCATGACTGGAAATCCCTGGGGTGCCTGCTCCTCCTCTGCTTTGCAGAGCAGGGCTGAGGAACGAGGCTTGCCTGTGCTGCCAGTGGCAAATCCATCCTCCCGGCTCCCCTGGGTCAGCTCACGAGGTTTGGATTTACCCCAGACAGGTAACCCTGGCTCTGGCACAGCCTGCAATGCTATTAGCACTGCTGAACTTGCTGTGTGCGGGCTGTGCTACAGTACCTGTGTGTGGACAGGGACCCCCATTTCACTTGGAATCGGTCTCCAAGAGGTGATGATGGGAGATGAAGGCACCCAGGGACCATTAACTTGGTCCCAGTGTAGAGCACAGGGGCCAAGGGCCTGTGCGCCTAGCCCACCCCGGCTCGTTGGTCTAGGGGTATGATTCTCGCTTCGGGTGCGAGAGGTCCCGGGTTCAACTCCCGGACGAGCCCTGCTTTTGGGCATGCACTTTCCCTTTGGTGCCGGTGGCTGCGACATGACAAGGGTACAGGTAAGTGCAGCAGTGCTAAAGCACAGTGGCTTTGGTCCCAAGTTATGGCTGGGTATATCCCTATGGGCAGTATGGACCCCCAAGAGTCAGCAGAGAGGGGCTGTTGATGCAGGGGGATGTAGCTCAGCGGGAGAGCGTTTGCTTTGCATGTAAGAGGCCCTGGGTTCAACCCCCAGCATCTCCACCTCCTTTTGCCTCTCACAACGCCTTTCCTGTTACACAGGGGTGGTAGAGCTCCCCAGGCACCCTGGAAAAGCCCTGGGCTGGCCTGGGTGTGCAAGGGGAACACCACAGCCTCAGCTGCACCCCAGTAATGTGGGGACACAGGGGCAGGGGGTGCAGAAGAGGTTCTCAGCTCAGTCTAGGGGTATGATTCTCATTCAGGGGTGGAAGAGCTTCAGCTCCCAGACAAGCTGTCCTTCTGGGACAGCCCCTGCTTTGGGGACTGCATCCCTCCTGCTCTCCCAGTGGAGGATGTTCAGCCCTGGCCAACCTGGCCCCGTGGTGTGGCCAGAGGTTTCTTTTTCAGATGACACTGGGTTTAGTAACCTTGGATGCTATCACTGTGGTACTGGGGATGTTATAGCCTGCCTGGGCATCCCTCTGGGCGGGGGGGGGGGGGAGGGGAAGGGGTTGTAGCTCAGCAGGAGACCACTTGCTTTTAATGCGAAGAGACCCTGGGTTCAACCATTAGCATCTCCAGTGTTTCTTCCCTGAAAAATTCCAGTAAAAATCATGCCCTTTCTTTCTGCATGGGAATCATAGAGTGGTTCGGGTCGGAAAGGACCTTAAGAAAAGCTGACCTTCCTCCCCGACCCAGTTTTTCTCCTCCTTGCTCCTGACATCCTCATACCTGCTTCCTTTCACAGTTACCTGCCTCACGCCCAGGTACAGCTGCCCACCGGGATGTCACCTCTCCCATGCCCCACCCCTCATGGGCTGATGCCAGGCACGGGGTACCCAAAAGCAGGGCTCGTCCGGGAGTTGAACCCGGGACCTCTCGCACCCTAAGCGAGAATCATACCCCTAGACCAACGAGCCGGGGTGCGCAGCTGCACAGGCACCCCCTCCCTGTGGGGGGTTTCTGTGCCCAGGGCCCCCGGGCCCCCCCAGATGGTGTTTGGGGATGGGGCCTGCCCCAGCCCCAGCAGCAGAGAGGGGATGGGGTCTGTGCCAGGATTTTCCAGGAAATGATTTACATATTCGTGGGATTTCCTGGAACTATTTATAACATCTGCATCCTAATTACAGATTCGCTTTCTTGCTGAGTGGGGGTCTCTGGTGGTCCCCAATAGCCTTCCTCCCTGTGTTTACTGAATGGCCTCAGTGCTTGCGCAAGGTCCTAGTACTGAGTTAGCAGTTGGTATGTCCTTGCTTCTGTTATCTTGAAGGCTTACTTCCTGCTTAGCTGTTATCAGTCCCGGGATGTTCCTTCTCCCGTGAGCTGGACATTCCTTACTCCCTGCGTGTTAGCAAGTTAGAACAGTTTGCTGCATTTCACTATGTTAGTTGAGAGCCACACACGCTATTGTTAGCTTAAACATACGATTTTAGCCTACACCACCTAGCAGGGGGAGCGGTGTCAGTGGGGCAGCGGTGGGGGGTGAGGGCACCTGTGCAGGTGGGCAGAGCTGCCCCTGCAGAGGGGATGTAGCTCAGCGGGAGAGCGCTTGCTTTGCATGTAAGAGGCCCTGGGTTCAACCCCCAGCATCTCCACCTCGTTTTGCCTCTCAAACCTGTTATCTCCCAGTCATCACTGAGGGATGCTTCCCCTTGGTGCCTTCCCGTGCAAAGGCTCTGCTGCGCCTGGATTTTTTCCCAACTATCAATAAATCCCCCTGGATGTTCCCTTTTCCCAGCCACAGCACTGGGGCTGCTAATGGGCAATGGGACCGTGCAGATGGTCCCATGCCAGCCTGGGGGTAAGTTTTCACCCCAGAGACCAATCCCAGGGCAATGTTGGGGTGTCCCTGGCCAAACGCTGGGATGTCAGAGGCTGTGATGGCCGAGGGGTGAAGGCGTTGGACTTGAAATCCAATAGGGTTTCCCTGCGCAGGTTCGAATCCTGCTCACAGCGCTAGCTTTTACAACAGCCGGATGAGGTTGGGGGCCGTGACCCCCCCATCCAATGGGAGATGATGGCCGGAGCAAAGTGGACGGGGAAGAGTCTTTCACCTGCCCTGGGCACTGGTGGGCTCTGGGTTCATCTCCCTCTTCGAGCCTTACTTTTGGGCACCCACCGCTGGGCACAGCCCATGAGGAATAGGGGTCACAAAGAGACAGAGCACGGCCCCGGATGTCACCTCCTGGGTGGGGAAAGGGCTCTGGAGGCAGTGGAGAAGGCAAAACAGGGACTTGCTGACACCATGTCCCTGCTGGGCAGCTCTACCCAGAAGCTGGGGTGGAGGCACAGGGGATGCCTTCCGGAGGTGGGAGTGGAGTCTGTTATCCCTGTCCTGTGGAGGAGGCAAAAGAATGGAGATGCTGGGGATTGAACCCAGGACCTCTTACATGCGAAGCAAGCGCTCTTCCACTGAGCTACATCCCCTTGCCTGGGGGCTTTCTGCCCCTGAGAGTCCTGCTGCCCACCCTGCACCTCATGGACCTGTAGCTTTTGGAGCTGAGGCAGTCACAGCCACGGAATCATGGAATCACAGAATCAACCAGGCTGGAAAAGCCCTTTAAGCTCATCCAGTCCAACTGCTCCCCAGCACTGCCAAGGCCACCACTAACCCATGGCACTGAGGCCTCGTCTCCACGGTGTGTGAGCACTTGCAGGGACGGTGACTCCAGCACTGCCCTGGGCAGCCTGTTCCAATGCCTGAGCACCCTCTGGGGAAGGAATTGTTCCTCAGCTCCATCTAAACCTGCCCTGGTGCAGCTTGAGGCCATTTCCTCTTGTCCCATCCCTTGTTCCTTGGGAGCAGAGCCCAGCCCCTCCTGGCTCCATCCTCCTGTCAGGCAGTTGTAGGGAGCGAAAAGTTCCCCCCCGATCCTTCTCTTCCCCAGACTAAACCCCCCAAGGTCCCTCAGCCATTCCCCATCACACTTGTGCTCCAGGCCCTGCA